AAACAGCGACTCTCCCACCCCATCTGCCCCTTCCCGTGCCAGGGACCCCTTGTCATAAAACAAATGAGGGACTCTGGATTGTTCGTCCCCTTCCCTAAGAGCAACTACAACGTGCAGGTGTGAAAGCAGGGGGACCAAAGGGATTTGAACACAAACAGAGTAGAGAAGAAATGAACAGTGAAACAAATGAGTTGACCTCGGGCTCACGGTTCCTGGAATCATTCCCAGGTGCCCGACTTTCACCTCCAGGATCAGAAATGCTTTTTCCTCGTTTCTCCCCCTCTTATTCTTCTGCTTCTCTGCCCCCAAGCTCAGGTAGAGATTTCGATCTGTTTGGCTGATAACTTGTTTTGTTTTAACTACAACCACCTAGGACCTAGGACCCAGATTATTTTCTCTCTGGGTTTTCAAATTAGACTCTTTATCCCGTTGTCTTATCTTAGTTCGTATCTTATTTTACTGTTCTTCCCACCCTCCACCTGGAGAAAGGGCATGAATTCACTCAGGTTCTAGTGCTGCCGGGGGGCAGGAAGTTACTTAGAAATAACAACGTTGTCGGGGCGCCTGGGTGGCGCAGTCGGTTAAGCGTCCGACTTCAGCCAGGTCACGATCTCACGGTCCGTGAGTTCGAGCCCCGCGTCAGGCTCTGGGCTGATTCAGGCTCAGAGCCCGGAGCCTGTTTCCGATTCTGTGTCTCCCTCTCTCTCTGCCCCTCCCCCGTTCATGCTCTGTCTCTCTCTGTCCCAAAAATAAATAAACGTTGGAAAAAAAAAAATTTAGAATTAACAACGTTGTCACTTGTGAATACGGAACCCTCTGGTCATTTTCTTCTCTCTCTCTCTCCCTCTTTCTTCCTTCCCTCTGTTCCTTGTCCGTAATGTAAAATCAAGCTATTCCATTAAAGGGTTTCTAACTCTCACTTAATTTTCTAACATTCATCTTGACTTTCAAGGGAGACTCACTACTTTATGTGGCATGCCATGTGCTTTCACGACTATGAGCCAGTTTCTGCATTAGCCAAAGAAAAAGGGACTTGCGGGTGGTAACTACCTAGTGTTGCCCCCAAAATGTGGCCTGGTGCTCTGTGCTCCTTACAGGAAATGAAACGAGCTAAGCCTGGAATACCTGTTCGCCACCCAGCAAATCAGAGGTGCCCCGTGCAGTTGGGGATCACACTGTAGTCTGCAAACACCTTCTGGCAAGAGGAGGCCATTGCCCTTGTTCTGACAGAGTCCCTGCTGAAGCAGCTACAGGGAAGAGACCAGACCGACCATAGGCTGGACCGAACCAGCGAGGGATCAGAATCTCCGGGTAGAGCTGAGCCAGCTCCAGTGTGAGGTGAGACAGATCCGACCCTCAGCCTCTCCATTAGCACCCTGCTCGCTTCTGCTTTCCGCTTAGCTGCCTTGCCAAGCCTTCTTCCTCAAGTTCTCTGGCCTCCATAGTTCTGCCATCTTAGCGGGACCATCATTGCAATCACTGAGATTGTTTGACTTTGGTATTAGCCTTTAAAAAGCTTTTTGGCTAGCCCACTCACATTTTGGAATCTGACATCTCTGCTCTGGGCCCATCAGTTGACAGGTATTTAATAATGTACACACTATTTGGTATTCTGCCTTTTCCCCTTGATGTTGTTGTGAGCATTTCCTCTCCACTATTTAATAGACTTCCCAATATTATTTTGATGCTTGTATTATAACACGTCATGAGGTATCTTACGATGTATTCCTTGCTGCTGGACATTTTGGCCAGTTCCACATTTTCACAACTAACACGTTGGTAAGTATTAGTGTCACAAAATCTTTGCAATCATTTTCTAAAACACTTTTTTAATGTTTATTCATTTTTGAAAGACAGAGAGACAGAGTGCAAGCAGGGGTGGGGCAGAGAGAGAGGGAGACACAGAATCCGAAGCAGGCTCCAGGCTCTGAGCCATCCCCACAGTGCCCTATGCGGGGCTCAAACTCAAAAACCTCGAGATCATGACCTGTCGCTTAACCAACTGAGCCACGCAGGCGCCCCATTTTTATACAGTTTTAGAACACACACGTAATAAATGAATACACACTGTTGGCAACAATGTAAAACATTACAGATATGACTAAAGTCCCCATTAATGACCCGTCTAGTCACCACCACTCTTACAGAGATAACGACTGTTATTGGTTGGTGCATACCCTTCACTTTTTCAATGTGCTTACGTATATTTCAATGTATCTAAGTAAAGTATATGGTGCTGCATGGTATTATTATTTGTGAGGCGGGGGGTGGTACACAGATGCTCTCATGCTGTCTCTGTTCACTGGACGTAGTATCTTGCAGATGCTTCCGCGATAACACATGCGATCAGCATCCCTCTCCGTAACTGCTATGTAGGGTCCCATAATAAAGACAAACCACTGTTTACTGAACTATTGCCGTGTTGTTGGGTATTTGGACTCTTTCTAGTTTTTTGCTAAGACCAGCAGCGCTACGTTAGATCTTTTCCTCAAACACACGTGCACATGTTTCTCTGAGGAGATTCAGAACAGTAGGACTGTTAGGTGGTCGAGGAGGCACATGCCTCGTTTGTGCAGATAGCGTCAAATTGCCCACTGGCGTGGCGACACAGTAGCACTCCCTCCAGAGACCCAGCGAGGGCATTTGTGTTGCACAACCTGACCCACGCTTTATCTGAGCAAACTTTGGGTTGTTGCCGCTCTGATTAAACCTGGTATCTTACTGTGTTTTATATGCATTTCCCCGATTTCTAGTGAGATTAAGGATCTTGTCAAGTGTATTGGCCATTTTTGCTCACATTCCTCAAAGTTTCATTGCCGGGTCAAAGCATATGCAGTGTGTGTGTGTGTGTGTGTGTGTGTGCACGTATGTGTGTACGTGTCTATATTTCTGTAGCTATCTTCTGTACCTGTGTGTTGATGTATGTGTGATGCTGTCCCTTTAAAGGTTGTTTTTATCCCCAGATGCCCTTCTGTGATAATTGAACCAAATGTATATTCTCATCACAGAGTCTATCAACTCTATTTTTTCATACGGTCTATAGCACAGAATTCTAAATCTGTTGTTTTTGTTCTCTTTGACAATTTGGTAGGGAAATATAGCATCTCATTTAGTTTAAGTTGCTTTCATTAAGAGCATGTCAGGGTGCCTGGATGGCTCAGTCGGTTGAGCATCTGACTCTTGATTTTAGCTCAGGTCATGATCCCAGGGTCATAGGATCAAGCCCCACATCAGGCTCTGTGCCGAGTGTGGAGCCTGCTTAAGATTCCTTCTCTTTCTCCCTCTGCCCCTCCCCCAGTCTCACTGTCAATCTCTCTCTCTCTCTTAAAATAAATAAACACTAAAAAAAAAGAGAGAGAGAGAGTTAAGGTTGTCTACTTATAATTTGGGGCATTTTATATCTCTTTTTGCGTGAATGGCTTATTTATTTCTCCCATTTTTGTGTCGGGTCAATCGTCTTTATTTCTGCACAGATTTATAAGAACTCTTTACAGACCTTAAGAATATTAACCTATGTCTGAGGACTCAGTAAGATTAGGATAGTTCAATAAAAATAATATTCTTAATATATAATATGCATTAATATACCAATATAATAATATAAATTCCTAATAATGTAATAAAAACCATAAATAATAGTGTAAATTCCTTACAGTGTAATAACATTCTGCCGTGGACGGGTGCCTCTGGGAAAGTCCACTTGGGAGATTAGAGCCCCTCAAACAAATAAATACAACTTTTTAGAAGACTGCCCTCCTTCATTCTCCATATTGTCTCCTTACGTATAAAGGTGGCTGAGATCGTGTCATGATAAAGCAGCAGACTGTGTTTGAGTGTGATGAGACTCCAGATGCTCACTGTTGAAGGATCGATAGGTGACATGTGCCGGGTGGTCCCAAGTCCCAAATGCCTGGCCACTCTTCAGAGGAGCCGGGACCGCTTACGGCCCTGGGGCTGTCTCTGCTGTCACACGGGCTGGAACATGTGGCCACCACATCCAGCTGGGGGGGACCTGTAGCCCTTTACTTTTCCCTCTTTGGGCAGTTAATCCTCCCTTTCTCCCCATTAGAGAAAGTTTGCCTTGATTTTACTTGTTTCTTGAAGGGCCGTATTTTCTAGGGAAAACCTCACTCAATGAGGAGTTGAAGAACCTATCCATGGTGTTCTCTCTAGAACTAGAAAGCTAGTTGGTAATGGAATGCACACAAATGGCAGACGGTATGTAAACTAGACCTAAGGTGCACTAGCGAGCTCCTTTTACAGCCCTGACTCTAGCCTGGAATCATCTGCTGTGGGTTCAAACCCCAACCTCAGCTTGGCCATACACAGCTTTGACACGGGGCTCAAACTGCTAAACGTCAACTCTGTCCTCTGTAGAATGGCAATCATGTTAGTACCCACTTTAAGGCAAGTGTGAGGATTAACTGGATCCTGGCCTAATAAGCATTTTATGTGTAATAGCTCCAATCATTATTTTTCCACTTATTCTCAGAATTGAGACCGATATCTGTGTGTGAATTACACTTTCCCACATAGTACGAAGAGGCATATTAGACCATATAAATTTCTTCTAAAACACCATAGCTATAAAGGAGACCAGTGTGGTTAAAAGGACCTTTCTTGTTTGTCCTGCCTGGATATGACATTAGGTTTTAAAAAAAATCTCCCTCCAGTTGAGGAGTCTAGCAACCGTGGATTACCCAACAACGGTTACTATGGCTGCAAAAAGGAAGCAGAAAGACCTCACAGCAGTGTTTACCAAAGAAAAGGGAGTCCGTGGCTCCAGTAGTTAACTAAATGACTGTGCTTATGTCCTTGAGACAGGAAGACAGGAATGACTGCAAAACACATAGAGACACGCAGCCACGCTCTTTCCACGGACATTACAGAATGTACTCGGTGCACCAAGAGAACTCCTCCACAACTCCGTCAGTATTCCCCAGATGGAAAAGCGGCAGAGATCTCCTTCCTTCAACACTGTGGTGATTTTCTGTCCTGAGTTCCACTGTGTTCTATAGTCATGTCTATGCTCTCGGCCTTGGAGAGATGCTTCTTCTCATGAGGTGAAGATTGATGATTCATACTGGCCCGGATTTCTGGATTACTTGCAAGAATTGTGCAAATAGGGAGAAGATTTCATAAAGTCACTGATGCTTCCCTGACCTGTGTAGGGCTGTTCTCAATGATGGTTGGTTTTCATCTGTCAATGGGGATATTGACAGCTATTAAGGGAGCATGACCTTTAGTGGCGCAGATTTGGCTTTGAATTCTATCTCTACCCATTAGAGAGTGTGTGACACCTGTTATTTAATATCTCTGAGTCTCAGTTTTCTCATCTGCAAACTGAATGTAACACTTATATTGACTATCACACTCACACTACAGGGCGTTGTGACATTATCTATATGTCAGTGAGCAGTGAGCATCGTGTATGGAATACAGTTGCATTTGGTGGTTGGTTGGGATGTCTATGTCCTAATCTCTGGAATCTGTGACTGTTACCCTGCATGGCTAAAGGGGTAATTACACCAAGACTCTTAAAATGGGGCAGTTATCTTGAATTCTCTAGGCTGGCCTGGTGCAATCCCAAGGACCCTTACCTGAGAGGTAGGAGATCAGAATGAGTAGTAGCAGAAAGTGATGTGACCATGGAGGCAGAGACTGAAGCCATGTGGCCACAAGCCAAGGAATGCCGACAGCTTCTAGAAGCTGGAAGAGGAAAGGGAGGGACTCACCCTGGAGTCTCCAGAGGGAACTAACCTGGCCAACACCGTGATTTTATTCCCACAACACACACCCGACCTCTGGGACCACTATAAGATAATAAAATTGTGTTGTTTTAAGCTACTAAGTTTTTGGCAATTTATCACAGCACCAGGAGGGAACTAATACAATTTTCTATAAACAGTGGCTTTTATTATCGAGCATGATAATGTTCATTCAAAATGTGGAGGGACACCTGGGTGGCTCAGTCGCTTGAGGAAGAGACGAAAACTTAGAGGAAAAAATGCAAAGACTGAGGAATACTGAGGAAAAAGTTAGCTTTGAGGGTAGATCCAGGAGAGTAGACACATGATTACGGATTTACAGTCTCTTATCTGAAAACATCGAAGCCAGAAGAAGTTTGGGAATTTAGATTGTTTCAGCTTTTAGAAATAACACTGAATATTATATATATTTGTACGTATCTATGTATTTCTGTTTTTATGTACATCACATATATTTCTTACATACATTTTACATTACATACATTTATATAGTTATAGTACATACTAGATAATATCCCCAGAAGCATATGGGAAGTACTCAGAAATCAAACATTTTCAGCACCAAAATATTTGGAATATTCACACACTAGTATCTTTTTTTTAATTTTTTTAAGTCTATGTATTTATTTTGAGAGAGAGACAGAGACAGCACAAGTTGAGGACGGGCAGAGAGAGAGGGAGAGAGAGAATCCCAAGAAGGCTCTGTGCTGACATCATGGAGCCCAACAGCTGGGCTGGCTGGCTGGCTTGAACCCACAAAACCATGAGATCATGACCTGAGCCACCCAGGCGCCCCTCACACTAGTATTTTTTAGTAACTAAAAGTAGTCTCACATCAGTTCAGGTTATGTTTTTCCAATAAATGTGTTGGCTGGAAATTTATTTATTTATTTATTTGTTTGTTTGTTTATTTAATGTTTATTTATTTTGAGAGAGAGAGAGAGCATGAAAGGGGGAGGGGCAGAGGGAGAAGGAGAGAGCAAGAGTGAGAGTGAGAGCGAGAGAATCCCAAGCAGGCTCCATGCTGTCAGCACAGAACATAACTCGGGGCTCAATCCTATGAACTGTGAGATCATGACCTGAGCCAAAATCAAGAGTCAGACGCTTAACCAATGGAGCCACCCAGGTGCCCCTGGAAATTCATTTTTCAAAAGGCGCACACACACACACACACACAAAAAACAAAGCAAAAACACAAAGATACTTTAGATAAGGGATTGTGATCCTCTGTTAGAATTTCCAGTACAAGGAAAGGGTGTCCATGGAGAAGAAGTAACCATTAAAGTGGAGGGAAATTGTCCTTGGCTTGAAGAAAGGCTAAGTCTGTAGTCTGAAAGAGCTGATTTAAAACAATCTATGCAATGTATTAAATACAACGTGCATTCTGAGGCCAGCAGTGCCCCTGCCTGGGGCAGAGCAATGGGATTCTGAGCTCCAGGACAGAACAGCTGGTGCCTTCAGAGAGAGCTCTCCAGAGGCGTGCAGACGCTCCCCCTGGAGACCTTGTTGGAACACTAATGAGAGCATACCTGTGAGGACACGAGAAAGCCCGCCCAGAAAGAATGCAGGCAGCATGACTATCCTGGCCACAGTCATGCCCATTCAGTTGCAGTACAAGAGCAGAGCTGAGTAGTCAACACAGACTTGTGACCCTAAGCCTAAAGTATTTACTATCTAGCTTTAAATAGAAAAAAAAAAAAAAAAAGTCACTGCCTCCTGATGTAAGGGATAAAAATACTTTTGATTTGAAATTACCAGGGCTCAAATCCCTTTTTCATCGCCGTGTGACCTTGAGTAAATTACTCAGTGTCACCCTCGGTTTTCTGTCTGTAAAGATGGGCATAATCTAGTCACCTTCCTCATACATTCACACCATGGAAGCAAAAGACTGAAAATGCTCAGAACCCTAACTGGCATTACAGTGAAATAAATCAATGAATAGTTTTGTTTTGTTTTGTTCTTAAGGTTAACCTTTCATTTAGAGGCAGACAATTTTCAGTTGCTTTGGGGTTTCCATCGTAAAATCAGCAACGTGACTTATCTCATCCCAAGTATTAGTTCTCTCTCCCCGACTTCTATATTGTAACTAAGGGAAGTGGACCAAAATGAGATTTTTTAGTACTATTTTTACAAGCTCTCTGTATAGGCAGGTTTTAAAATCCAAATTCACATAGTCCCTGACATCTTATACTTAAACCGGATAAAACACGTCTCCAGGGAAGATCCGATTTCTTTACCTCTTTGTCCCTTCCAGGGCCAAGCAGAGGCTCTTCCGTTTAGGAACACTCGATAAATGTTTGGGATGGGCGAATGGATGCAGGGAGGGGTGGATGGATGGGTAAGTCATTTCATTGAGGAGACACCGGGAGCAGTTCTGTGAAGTGAATGCACAGAAGGAAAGGCACTGGTTTGCCTGCCACCCCCTCCCGTCCCCCCCACTTCCTCCTTCACACACTGCCAACAAAGCGTAAGGCTTTAGCAAAGCTGAAGTTCACAGTTCATACCTCTTTGCGGTATTTTTGAGGGGTCTGTCTTGGTTTTACTTGTTTATTTGTTGGCAGGTTTCGTATCTCTGGCTACAGAGGTTGAGGATATAGAATTCATGACACGTTGCCATTATCGGTCCAGACAAGGTCTTTCCTTTGGTTATTTATTAGCTTTTACTGCTTACTTCCCCATAGATAACCATTGAAACGCGTTTGATTATGAATTTTTGTTTGTGCCCATTTAAAGAAAGTTGTGGGTGTAGGCATGTATCTTTAATTGACCTAAAGCCAACTGCGTCCTGTACCTCCTGCCATTTCTTACCCTTTTCACTCAGCACTGCCTTCGTAAGATCCAACCGTGCTGTCGCGTGTACATCCATTCCACTGTTTTGTTTTTTTTTTTAAGTTTATGTATTTATTTTGAGAGAGACAGAGACCGTGTGGATCGGGGAGGGGCAGAGAGCGAGGCAGAGAGACAGAGAATCCCAAGCGGGCTTCAGGTCACCAGCACGGAGCCTGACACGGGGCTTGAACTCATGAAACTGAGCTCATGACCTGAGCCAAAACCAAGAGTCAGACGCTTAACCGACTGAGCCACCCGGGGGCCTCCATTCCGCCGTTTCTAAGTATTCCATTGCGTACAACCGCACATTAGACTTGGTGCTGTCTGTATTTTGTTTTCCTAGGGTATAGTGGAAAGTTATTGCCAGTTTAATCAATCCTGTTTCTACGGTTTGCAAAAAGATTAGGCACTCCATCTCCTTGACCGTGACTGGAATAGGAGTGAGCCCCTGGGGGGAAAGAGGTCAAGGAGAGGTCAGCCTGGGTGTAGGAGCAGCTCTATCACCCCTGGTTGTCCTTGGCCACTGGCCTAGCCTCTCTGTTTTCTCACCTGCAGCAGAGTCAATAATCCCGGCCACACCTATCTCACGGGGCTGATATGAGGTTTAGGAAAACAACAGGTGAGAAAAAAAGACTCTGAATAGGGTTCCTAACCACATATAGGGAGTCAGCCCTCATGGTCCCTTCTCTGGCTGGCACCCAAGCCCGACAGGTGACTGGAAAAGCAAATGCACCCACCCCAGTGCCACAAAGAAGCATCATTCCACTCTCAGGGTTGTGCAATCCACTAAGTGTTCAGTCCTAGGCAGACTTCTTGTGTCCCCCTGGTCACACCCCACCTCCTCATGGGGTGACCTTCCTGGGACTCCACAGGGAGGTATATGCTCCCTCAGGCAATCAGTCCCAACCTCTGTTTCCTCCTAATCTTCTTCAGTCACCTTCTCCCCTCCTCTTACACCCCCTGCCATTATTTCTATTCTATTCACTTGTTTACAACCTTGTGCCTGGGAGCAGAGTCTCTCCAGGTTTCCATCCCTAGGGGTAGCCCACAGGAGAGAATCGTGGCTGGCTTTTGTGACTATTAGCTCAATCTTCTTCCACATCCCCTCACCAGGAACAACAACAAAAACATGAATTCTACGTTTCAACCAAAAAAAAAAAAAGCCAAAGAGTACACTCAGCGGGGTAGGTGCGGTCACGGCCTCTTAACTCCTTTGTACAAGGATCCAGAGCCACTTCCCCTGGGGGCCCTCTCTGCTCAAGGCGGAAGGACTTCAGCCAAATCCACTCAGCAGCTTTTCTCCCAACCGGCCCCCTCTCTCACTCTTGCTCCCTTTTTGCTCAGCGCTCCCCCAAGGACTGGCTTCTGTGCTTCCCGTGCCCCTGCTCCACTCCAGTGTGTAGCATGGCCATTGTCACTCAGTATTACTGATTGGCTCGCAGGTCTGGCTTTCCTCCGAGACTGTGAGCTTCCTGCAGGCTGATGCCAGTCACGTTACTCTCCGCCGACACCTGTGAGACAATACATTTCTGTTGCGTAAGCCACCCAGTCCGTGGAACTTTGTGCTGGCAGCCCTAGGAAACTAATACAGGGGGCAATCGTG